GGTGCGCGACCAGCACGAGATGTGCGAAATGTAACCAGTACCATTGTATGCTTGCTGGTATGACGTGCAAGCTCACTATTGGGTACTGGATCGATATGGCCAACATGTCACATTTGCGGTCATCGGTGAGTTCGCAAGCTGGCAAAGTATCAACAGTATCCTACCGTAATCCCTCGTATATAAGACCCTAGGGTCTTATGATAATCACCCCTAAAAAGGCTGGGGGGTATAATTAAATGGTGTATTTTTTATAAGACCCGGGTCTTTTCATTTTGACATTTATAAGAATGTAGATTTGGAGCTCAAAGAAGTGATTTGTAATTGCTCCGTTTTTAGCTCCTCTCAAAAATACTCAAATTGGTCTCCACACGGGCCGAACCCACGTCATCACGAACCCTATCTGGGAGCCTCCTCCCATTGGCCACCAACACCACTTGGTGTTCACACGACAGCGCAGGGCACCGTTTGATGGCCCAGCGCGCAGTGTCGTCTCGGCCTTCACACCCCATGCACACTTCGTGCGGGCTGCCCATGGGTGTGCATGTGCCAACATGCAATATGACAATTTTCACTTGCATTTTCGTAAAATCCGCACTTCTCTAGGATGTGGGGGGGGGGGGGGGGGGGGGGGGTCTTATAATGTTAGGAGCCATTTAGGGGGGTATAACTCAGATGTACTCGAATAGAGTACCCGGGTCCGTATTATAGACCCGGGGGTCTACAACTGGGGGGGGGTCCTATATACGGGGGATTACTGTATATAACAAATCTCGATTGACTCCCTCCATCTTCACTATGTTTACAAAAGTATGTATACAGTATGCTCTACAATAGATAGTTTTGTTGGTTGTAGCACGCTTGCGGTGATTGGTTCGGGCGCAATCAATTCCGGTAACCATTTCATCCATTTCGTGTACAATTCTATTGGTGTAAATGATTTCGTAACTGGGTCGAGGGTAGCTTGGGGGTAGTTTTGGGTCAGTGTGGCGAGTTGTTGGCTGTGTGGTGGCGAGATTGTGTAGGCTACCTCGAGGTAACCTCTGTTGGGGGGAAGTCTGTACCCAAGCAAGATTTTCTAGAGTCTGTTTCCGTTAGCCGTAAAATCCGCAGCTCGGGTGGATGGCGGCTTCCAAGGGAACCGCCTTGGCTTTAGCGGCGGTGCTGCAGCTGCTGCTTCTGGCGGGTAACGCCGCCGTGCCGAGCGCGGGTCAGGACGCGAGCCTGCAGCAGTTACTGGCCGCTCAACGACACGGAGGGTAGGCTCGCTCTCTCTCGCGCATGTCGGCTTCCTTTCATGCAATGTTGGCTTCGTTTTACGCCTGTTCGTATTTGTCTCTCAGCGTTTCACGCAATGTCAGCTTCGGCCTCAGTATCTCAAGCAACGTCGGGGTTCGCTTCTCAGCGTTATAAGCAATGTCGGGTTCGCTTCTCAGCGTTTTAAGCAATGTCGGGTTCGCTTCTCAGCGTTATAAGCAATGTCGGGTTCGCTTCTCAGCGTTTTAAGCAATGTCGGGTTCGCTTCTCAGCGTTTTAAGCAATGTCGGGTTCGCTTCTCAGCGTTTTAAGCAATGTCGGGTTCGCTTCTCAGCGTTTTAAGCAATGTCGGGTTCGCTTCTCAGCGTTTTAAGCAATGTCGGGTTCGCTTCTCAGTGTTTTAAGCAATGTCGGCTTTGCTTTCCAGTATTTCACGCTATCTCAATGTGGTTTGGTATTGCACGATAGCTCAATTCTAATATGAGTCGTAATTTCACTCTCACGCGTTCGCAACTGTACCCTGCTGGTGCTTCTTCTTCGCAGCGAGTATTCTGGGTTTGGTGGAAGCGAAACTGGATTACTTTCCGTACGAGCTGTACTTCATAAGCACCTGCGTCAATGTCGGCCTCACCTGCAGCGACGTTGGCTACGTTACTCATATGTCAGTGCTGCTGCTGCTCCTGCTACTCATGCCATTGCTGGTGCTAATGCCCATGTTTGGGTAGTTTTGCTGTTGAAATAGCGGGAGGAGTAAGAGATGCTTGCGAGTGACGGTTTCTTGCCTTGACTCGTGGCTGTTGTGCGTGCAGCAATTGGGTGGGGGGGTAGGGAGACACCATCAGCGACCCGCAACACGAGCCGCGTTCACCACAAAGGACATATGTACGTACATTATTGTGAATAGTTCCTATGTAAATTTCCAAACTTACCAAAAACATAAGTTTGCCTATCTTGCGCACTGAAATGAGCAACATAACTTGTGTTGAAAGGGTACATAGGTAGAGAAGCTACTCCTAACTGTCACTAGCTGCTCCTAAATACTTCTATTTCCACCAGAAGTCCTGAATTTGAAAGCAACAAAGCATGGATTGCAAATTGAAGCACCATTGTGAAAACCAAAAGCGAAATATTCTTGCGCATGCAAGCTCTGCTAACTCTGCTGAATGATCTTCTTCCTGTGGAGATTTATTTCCCGTATCAGCATTTGCCGTATCTTTGAATCAGCATAATTGCTGCATTTCTGTTGCAGAGAGAGAGGCCTTTTTAGTGACTGCTGCTGCTCCTGATGCTGCTGCTTCTTCTGATGCAGCTCATTCCACTCTGGAGTATTCAACTTCACCTCACCCAGATCAGAGCCTCTAGATTCAGTCACATGTACTCTGGAGGTGTCACGGGAGGGACTGGCGTCCAAGAAATGTTCTCCCTGCGACAATCCGAAACCCTGACAGCGTGCCAAATGAAGGTCCTCGCATGATGCAGGCAGGTTCAGGTCAGGGATGACGACTCGGGTACAAGCTGGCTTGTCAAAGCATGTCCATCCCTCCAATGCCTTGTATGTACACTCCTCCATTAGGTCAAGAGCACATTGCTCTAGCGACGTGGCTCTGTAGTCATTGCGAGCTTCAGCAGCAGAGAGGCAATCCGGTGCGGCATGGGATTGAATCGACTTGTCAGCAAACGAAGTTGCTCCCAGCATTCCCTTGCTTCTGATGTACTCAGCCCAGCTTGGTTGCTTGCTGCGATGTTTGTCATCAGCTTTAGTGCCTCCGCGTTGCTGAGTGATGCTTCTATCGGCCGCTTCAGCAGCTTTTCTTGCAGCTTTGTCGCTGGATGATGCTGCAGCAGGAGTAGACGCAAAGGGCCTGAAAATCTTGCGCTGCTGACTAGCTAAGTTGCTGCAGGCAGCACCATCGCTCTGGGGTTCCGCGTGGCTGTCATCTCGGCCTCGCTTCATCGCGGATATTCGCGAAGCGCTGTGCTCTCTCGCCAACTCCTTCGCCCAGAGACTGTGCGGCGTCATGACAATCACGAAATTGCACTTCAGAGGTGTGAAAGGGACTCTTGTATAGGAATCGTGATGCCTCGAAAGGAAAAGGCGACCGAAAGTCCATCGCTTTTCATCGGAAGATATAACCAAATTCATCCGCCAGATCCGTGGCGCTGGCGCCACGGCTCACGAGTTATCCGATAAGCTACTATTGTCACATGACGTTCGTAGATTTCGAATCGTGGGTGATGCGCCGTCCGCTTCGTGTGAAGAGCCGGAAACTAAAAATATCGGCAATTTGAGGATGATCTGGTACTATGTTATGTCGTTCCATAGTCAAAATGACGTATGCAGATTTCATCGCTGACGCGTCGTCCGCTTCGTGAGTAGTGCCGGAGAATAAAAAAATATGCTGTGGTACTAAGAAGCACGCCCAAAATATGTTATCGTTGCATCGCTCAAATCTAAGAAGCACGTGAATGATCCGCCGCAAAGTAAGATTGTGCAGCAATTCTCTTTCTTAGCGGGCAAAGATCAATGATCCCATTTCTCGCTTATCGCCCTCACATGACAGAAAATCGGTGCTTGCTGGGTCATTCGTTAGCTACAGTACAGAAATGGCGGTGAAGATTTATCGGCGACCAGCAGCCATGGCACTTCAGTACAGTAAAGGAGAGGGAGGTGGGGTGATGCCGATATCTGCTGCGGTGATGCAATGCAATCCATCTGGGGCAATTGTGGTTGAGTTGGGTTGGGTTAGGTTGGGTTGGGTTGGGTTGGGGGTTTGGTTGGTAGCTTGATGCACAAGGTTCACGTTACGGGTTTCGGCTTCAAACTACCCTTTTCCTCGGGGCACTGGTTAACTGGAATCCAGTTCTTTTTCTTGCTCGTGTCCGGGACGCGTCCAGTACCAATTCTTGAACCTCTTTCACACCGAAAACGATGTGCATTACACCCAACTTCCATTTTCTCGTTCAGGAATACATGAAGCGATCGTCAACCTTCAGAAAGGTGTCCAGATTCAACCAATTTAGACCATTACGCACCGGATTGAACCTTGTCCAGTCAATTGCAAGCATTCTGTAATATGACCCGCCCTTTGTGCGGGCCAAGCCAGGATTGTTTACAACTCATGCATCATTGTTCAGACTGGTGGGTAGCGGTTGAAAGGGGTCGAGCAGGAAACGTGAACTGTTCATGAGTTCCAGAGGGCCTGATTTGTCTCTTTTGAATGCTGTTTTGCCCCTCTGATCCACTTCGGGTCTTCCGAGCCTCCACTTCGTGTCTGACCCTGATGTCAGACACGAGCTAGGAATGCTCCCCTAGACATCCCATGCCACACCTCCATCTTGTCCTGGCATTTTTGTTTCCTTCCCGCCCCAAATCCCGCCTCTCCTCACGTGCCTGGACAGATTTGCTAGTTGGCGTTTCTCCAAATCCACACCAAATCCTCCGCCTGCCTGCCCGCCAGCTTTCCACACGGCGAACGAACTCGCTGTGCCTCGGGGTGACGTGATCGTAGAGGTACGATTTCGCCAGGTGGAGTAACCCGTGCGAGAAGGCAAGTCAGCAAGGGGAAACCATCTCGTTAGCAGGTGGTTCCTCGGTAGGCAATTCCTAAACCGCGATGACAACTAGTGGAGATTGTGCTCCAAAGCCCTCGCTCATTCGGCGCACATATCGCTACTCAAGTCTAAACCTTGTCCTGTCCTCAGCCACACGAACACCAGCTCCTACCTCTCAGCCACAAGCGGCAACAATGACTTCTGCTGATAAATTTCCTCCTTCTCGCTCTGCGACAGCTGCATTTCGCGCAATTACTGTCACCACGGCGCAGCAATTCGCATTACTGTCACAGCCTTCGTCTCCCGCTAACTCCGCTTCCTCGTCCCCCGCACGCGGCAACGCGGCCGGACGTTCGGCAGGCGCTTCGCACGTACCGCCTCCGCCCTCTCGCTTTGAGTCGGAGGCACCATTGACGGCGAGCGATTGCGTCGCGCAACAGGAAAAAAACGCATCCGCTGTCAACGACGCTGCCAGCGACGCGCCGCGCCAAAGCGCGCAACTAGAGCCGCCGTCAACGGAGCCCGCAAGCCACGGGCTGTCGCTGCATCAACTGCAGCATCTCGTCGCTCTCACCGCCACCAACGACAGCCCGCGCGACACGAGCAGCCCTTCTGCCTTCCCATACGCCAGGTCTGAGTCGTCGCGCGACGTCGCTCGGGATCGCAGAAGCAGCAGGCTCTCGCTGGACTCGGCCCAGCGGCGACTCGACTCGTGGAATCGCGTGAGCAAGCCCCTCGCTCACTACAGCCACGATAGCATCGGCGCGCAGCACCGGCGGCTTAAGCGCAGCGGAAGCGAGCCCGCGCTAGCAACGCGGGGGTTTGATGGTGAATCAGATGGCGGAAGCGCAAGGTTATTGCGACCGCTGGATGCGCTCGTTTCAGAGGCGCGGCAGCGAGTGTCCCGTCACTCGCTCCGCCGCTCCCGGAGCGCGCACGCGCTGGGCGAAAAGGACAGGGACGCGCTCTGGAACGACGCCATGAATGCGCTTTTCTGGCGGCGAGGCGGCGCGGTCATCTACAGACGGCCGGAAGGCGCGACGCCGTCATCACCGCAGACAGCGGGCCCTGCGAACAAGTGCGACTGTCGCGGGTGCGGCAGCAGGCGGCAGATTTCGCTGACTGTGAGATCGGCCGACGCTGCGCGTGCAGCCACGAACGCAGCGATGGCTAGCCGACGCCTATTGAGTCCGTTGAGCCCGCCGGCAGCCAGGCCAGCCGCGTCGCCCTACTCTCACGCGTTGCGCGATGTACGCGGTGGGAACTCATTTCGCTCTGTTTCACTTACAGAAACGTCGTCTGGAGTCCAGTCTCCTGTCCTGTTGATGAGTGGTAACTCACAGAACCAGTTGAAACAGCAGCAGCAGCAGCAGCAGCAGCAGCAGCAACAGCGGGCTGGCAGGGACCCAGTGAAATCGGTGTTCGCTTGGGCTGCTGAGCAGAGAATAGCGTCTCGGCGCGCACTGGGTGCTCAGTAACGATACTCCAGCCCGTGCTCCAAGTTCCTCCCCTCCTATGCGAGCGTACGACTTGTAACGAAATGTTCCCCCGAGAAATATGTACATAATTATGGGTGATATTCTAGTAAAAGCATACTAAAACTTAGCATCATGCTTGGTAAAGGTTTTGTCGAGTGGTGCTGTAAAATGAACGAGCGTAAGCAGACGTAAGCTTTTTCGAACTCGAATTATGCATTCGGGATCTCCCAAAATTGCGCCCGAGGTTCGCGAGGCTTCTGCCACATCAGCAACAGATACATTGCATGTGACGCGAATTCGACAGCTGGTAGAAATTCTATGAAGATGTGAGGTTTGATTCAAATTCGGCTTCTTGATATTCCATTCTGCTCCGCATAGCATTCATTTATCTGCGCCTTTTTTGTTGACGCGGGCGTGTTGCTAGCATTCAATAGTTGCTCCTAGCCTCGTGTCAGTTTTTCTCTCTCTCTCTCTCTTTCTCTCCAGTGTTTCCTCCTGTCGCCTCACCTCGTGCTCAGTCTAATTCGTTGCAGATTTTCCAGCTTCCCCGTCTGCCGCCTTTCGTGGAAAATGATGCGTATCGCCTCTCGCCAGTTTCTCTCCGCGGGAAAGTCGCTTAAAGCGGCAACTCCCGCAGAACTCGCCGTACTTGGCGGCACAGGACGCGAGCGGGGTCTCGCGGCGTCCGCGGCCAGTGATACCAGCCGTCCGATCGTGGCGAGCCTTCCAGATCTGCCGTACGATTATGGCGCGCTGGAGCCGGTGGTGAGCGGCGAGATCATGCAGTTACATCACGCGAAGCACCATGCTGCTTACGTGGCGGGTTACAACAAGGCCGTGGAACAGTTGGACGCGGCGCGGGGGAAAGGCGACACGGAGACGGTGGTGTCGCTCCAACGAGCGATTAACTTTAACGGCGGAGGTAAGCTGCGAGAAATAGTGAAAAATATCAGCAGATAACTTGAAGAGCTGATAAGGTAGTACTAAGCAGTGGTGATTCTTCTCGCATAACCAATTGGAGCCGACTTGCAAGCAGTTTCTCTCCCTGATTCTACATCCGAGACTTTGCGAGAGATTGAGAAAGTCGAGTTTGAGCGAAGAACTGGTAAGTATGAGAAACTTAAGGATAGCAGAGCAGGAGGCGATGCATGCATTGTGTACATGTTTATCGCCGCGAATTTTTTATTTCTAGCCTAATCTGGTCGAATGCTACTATCATGGATTTGATTAAGAAATAGACGGATTGAATTTGTCGCCACATGTGTGTCTGTTGCCGTGCATGCTAATTCGTGCATCGTGGGGGCACTGCCTGTGCACTGTGATAACGTGCGACTGTGCGACTGTGCCAACGTGTGCTGTGTGCGACCGTTCATTGCGTGCAGGTCACGTGAATCACAGCATTTTCTGGAAGAACCTCGCTCCCATCAGCGTAAGCACTCTCATTTCTCCAGCCATTGACTTCGCAAGCTTCGTTTCTTCTCTTTTGTTCCTTTTCAGGCGCTCTCAAATTTGCTTATCTGTAAAAAGCCACAATCCCTCCTTCATTTGTGGGCCTGGACTCGCTGTTTTTTGGGGGGGGGCAAGTGAACGGTTTTTATCACAACTTTCCCGTCATTTTGAGGGGTGCTAGAACCCACCGAGCAGAGCACCCTCGGCAGAGGCCTGGAATAAATGCTTGTTTGGTGCCTTGTAGGCGGAAATGAGGCCTTGCCTAGGGTGCTGTCTTTGCTGCGTGCCACTGAGAGAGAAGGAGGAGTGTTAACGCACAAGTACTAATGCCTCTTCTCCTGCTGCACGCTGCAGGGCAGAATTCCAACACAACCCCTGAAATCTCGCTCTTCTTGTCCTGCGTGTTTACCGGAGGGAGGGGGAGCAGGGGGAACGCCGCCAGAGGGCCTGCTGATCGCAGCGCTTGCAGGGGGATGAGGGGGCGGATTTTGAACACACCCTGATACCAATTCTCTGCATCGCCGCCTTGCTTTTCCTTGCCCTTACAGGAGGGAGGGGGGGCCTTTCCCGAGGGCCCTAGGGTGGCAGGGCGGATTTCCAACACTCGCAAAAGCCTATGCTTCCTCTTCCCTTTGTCTTGTCCCGCGTGTTCACAGGAGGGAGGGCGAGCAGCACGTTTGATGACTTATAAGTCAAGCTTCCTCTTCTCTTTGTCTTGTCTCGCGTGTTCACAGGAGGGAGGGGGAGCACCACCGGAAGGCCCCCTAGCAGCAGCCATTGACGCCGAGTTTGGGTCGCTGGACGCCCTTGTGTCCAAGTTCAACGCTGCTGGCGCTGGCGTGCAGGGGTCCGGCTGGGTGGTGAGTGATTGTGATGGGTGGGATTGTATTGAGTTGGGAGTGTATCCTGTGTGATTGTAGCGAGCACGTGCTTGGGTCGCTGGACGCCCTTGTTTCCAAGTTCAATGCTGCTGGTGCTGGCGTGCAGGGGTCTGGATGGGTGGTGAGCGATTGTGATGGGTGGGATTGTATTGAGTTGGGAGTGTATTCTGTGTGATTGTAGAGAGCACGAGTCTGGGTCGCTGGACGCCCTTGTCTCCAAGTTCAACGCAGCTGGTGATGGCGTGCAGGGGTTCGGATGGGTGGTGAGTGACTGTAACAGGTGGGATCTTTTGGTTCGCTGGACGCCCTTGTCTCAAAGTTCAATGCTGCTGGCGCTGGAGCGCTGGTTCCATTTTGGATTTTTGTATTGGGTGGGATTGTTTTGAACTGGGAGTGTACTGTGCATGACTGGAAAGCATAAGTTTGGGTCGCTGGACACTTTTGTGTTCATCAATGCTGCTGGTGCTGGCGCGCATGTGTCCGGATGGGTGGTGAGTGATTTAATGGGTGGAATTGTATTGAGTTGGGAGTGTAGTGTCTGTCATTGTAAGGTGCACGAGTGTTTTGGTCTGCGGGCGCCCTTGCCTTCCTTAGCAGTGTTCAATGCTGCTGGTGCTGGCATGCAGGGGCCTCGATGAATTTAATGTAACGGTGGGTACCCTTAGAGGGGGGGGGGGGGGGGGGGGGGGGGGGGGGGGGGGATATTTGTGATGCTTTGGAAAGAAAAATGCCCACGCTGTCTCCTTTCCCCCTCCGGTGGTTCTGCCTCAGAGAAAGATACTCATGTTTTCGTCTTCTTCTTTGTGTCTCAGAACAAGTTTGCTCCCACTGTGTCATTTTGTCCCCTCATTTCCCCCAGTGGTTGGGTCTCAATGACCGGAAGAAGCTTGCAATTGTGACGACAGCCAATCAGGACGCGTGTGTGACTACAGGCCACGTGCCTCTACTGGGCGTTGACGTCTGGGAGCATGCCTACTACCTTCAGGTAAGATCATCTTACTCTACTTACCCATGCTCATTACCATATTACTGCTATTGCCAATAAGTAGCGTGCAGAAAATTCTCGTATCATTAAGAGCGTTGGGGCATTGAGAATCCACATGAGCAGGTGTTGTTTTTCATTAGCAAGATCTGCGTGCCTATGCAGATGCTTAACATTGTGCCCGTCTTCCCTATTTTCTTGTCGTGTATTTGGGCTTTGTGTTTTTGCAGTACAAAAATGTTCGTCCTGACTACCTGAAGAACATCTGGAAGATCATCAACTGGAAGGATGTGGCTTCTCGCTATGCAGCTGCTACTTGAGGGAAACAAGGATCCACACTAAGTTGTGATGTGGATAGTTCCATGAAAGTGGAGTGCACTGATATAAATGTGATGTGTCTCATGGTGTAATATAATTGATTTGGAGTCATTTATGGGGTCAAATGTTACTGTAGTATAATTCGATACAGCAGGCAACGTTTTTTTTCGGCAGATGGCGTTATAACAACATTGCATTGCACTTCAGCTAAGGCATTCTTTTATTATTCTGTTGCTCCTGTTTGTTTAATATTGTTTTGTAGCAAGTTTTTTCTGAAGTAATTATACTTCGCCGTGAGGTATCTCCCTAACGAGACCCGCAGTCATGTTTACCGTTTGGCACGGGAAGCGCGCCCTGACCAGCCCTGGTCAGGCGACAAGCCGCCATCGCGGCTTCGGATCACTCGCCGCTGACATGTCGGCTCGAACCGTCTCTCCTCCACACCACTTCACTGGAATCCACGAAATGTTCTGGTTCGTTTCTTGCGCAGGCATGTGCTAGCACCCCCAGCTGCCCGCTCGGTCCGGAAACGCCATTTGCTGAAAAGCGAACACCGAAGCCAACCAATCAAACCGCACGCCATCGGGTTTCCTGCTTGAGGTTCTCACCTCGCTCGCATCCCTCCGCGCCTTGAGGAACACGGCAGTGCTTTCGCAAACAGCGCGAAAAGTTGTGCGTAACCAGCTTTGCCGTCGCTAATGTCCGCCCCCAGGGGCGCACAGCGAAACTGCTTTTCGCACACAGCTCGAGCCGTGCATCGCAGTGAGACCCCCCCCGACGAATTGTCGTCCCCCGCCCCCGAACTCCACGGCCAACGGTTCACACCCACGGCCCCCGTCTAACAAGGGAAGGTACTGTTGTGCGGCAGCCTTTTCCCTACTTCCCTTGACAAGACATCCGTCCCTCAGCTCACGATCAGCACTTGCACTTCCGAACACCTTGTCTAGACTAGTACGTCCTTCAGTGCTCTCCAGTCTCTTCGTTACACGTTTTTCCGTAGTTCCTGCCTCCTCTGTTCCAAATAAATACCACCCGCCATGTCTGAGCGGAGCAATTATTCTTACAACGGGCCTCGTCCCAACCCGTTATACGGCGGCCCGAAAGCCTCTAAAGCCACCAGCTCTAGCAGCCAGAACCCCTCATGGGTGCGTCGCGAGCCGTCCGCGTCGCACGCCTATAGCGACTCGAACTGCTCCCCCGGCGCCTCGCCCGCGCGCAGCAACCGCAGCGGCGCAGGGCCGTACTACGCGCCGCAGTATGAAAACCCCGGGTATACCGTCGAGACTCCAGGACACTATAACGGGTTCGGGACGGGCCCGGGTTCAGTCGGCGGAAGCTCAATTCCCGCCGCGTCGCCGTACCGCCCGACGGCGTCTTATTTCGTGCAGACGCCCGCGCATTCCGATCGCGCGGGTCTTTTCAGCTCGCCCGGGTCATCCGCGCCGTCGTCGCCACGCTTCGGCGACGAGGACGCGCGGAGCATGCGATCCGGGCGAGGGGGGGCGTCCGTTGCGATCAACGGCGGCGACGGCGACGACGACTACGACGATTTTTACCCCGACCATCTGCGCGACGCGGATCGGCGTCGCAAGTGGTGGATCGCATTCTGGGCGTACACGTCGCTGATCGTCGGGCTGCTGCTGGTCGCAGGCGCGATCGTGTGCTGGATCATCTTCCAACCGACGGAACCAACGTACACTTTCGACGTACGTTGATTTGCACGCGCTTGCACGCGATTGGTTTAGAATTCCCTTCGTGATTATCCCTGCCAGATTCTAACACCCTGGCGCGTGTCCGTAGCGCATCAGCTCTTCCCCTTCCAATAACCAATCGTCATCTCTCCGTTGTTTTCCCGTCCAAACTTTCGACCATTATTCCACCTGCAATTCTCCAATTTCCCGTTCTTTTTTTGTTGTTATTATTCTTTGCATGTGTACAGTACGTGGCGGTGAACCAGTTTACTGTATACCAGGACATGCTTGACGGTAACGGAATGGCGACGGACCATCTGTACGCGAACATGACGTTCATCTTCTCTATACGCAACCCCAATACGCGGTTCAACACGTGGTTCGACGGCGGCGATCTCTCCATCAGCTATCACAACATGGCGAACATCATGAAGACCACGGTAAGAGCCGGCACTCACTCACTCACTCACTCAGTCACTCACCCACTTTCTCACTCAAGCAAATATTATGAATGCCAAGGTAAGAACCGGCAATCCCTCTCAAACCCGAGCTCACTCATTCTCTCTCTCATTCATCCTCGTTCTCACTCTCTCACTGACTCGTTAACACTGTCATTCACTGACCTTCACACTCACTTCCACACGCAATCCCACCCACCTATGCGGGCAAATCCCATCCCGTTCAAGTAGATTTATCCACTCTCCCAACTTACCGACTTCCCATTACCGACTTCCCATTACCGACTTCCCATTACCGACTTCCCATTACCGACTTCCCATTACCGACTTCCTCGCCCAGTCACTTCTCCCAAACCTGCCACCCCACCTATCCGCCATCCTTGGCCTTTCCCTCCCTCATTCCACCCCTCTTCCATCCCCCCCAAAATTTTCCGCTTCCGCTCACCTCCTTCTTCCCTCCTAACACTACCCTTGCCCTCGCTCCCGTCTCTCAGCTGCCGGCCTTCAAGCAGAAACTCGAGTGGTCCTGTTTCAACCACTCGCTGACGTTTCCGCTCATTCCCCTACCCCCCTTCCCCTCTCTCCCTCCCCGTTTCTTCCTTCCCCGCACCCCCCCGCCTCCAGCTGCCGACCTTCAAGCAAGAGCAACTCGAGTGGTCCAGCTTCAACCGCTCGCTTTCAACCATGGCGTTTCCGCTGTACGCGGGGGGGACGTTTTTGCGCGCGGACATGGCGGAGCAATTTGTTCCGCTGAAGCTGAACGCGACCCTGAACAGCCACGTGGACGTGGCGTGGAAGATCATCCAGCCGAAATACTCGCAGCTGCTACAGTGCGTGGTTAACATTAACCCCGCATCTCTACAGTACATTAATGACACGTGCACGCTTACAATGCTTAGCAAAAGGGTGTAGGGGGAATGCTCGTGGAGGAGGTTAGGGCTTAAAGCAGTGCGTGAAACTGGGGAGTGTAAGGGCAAGGGTATTGGCCCTCTCTGAAGCTGAAGAGTGAGGGTCAGTCTGTGTGTGGGAATGGCAGGTTTTCTAGGAAGGACAGAGGAGGTGAGTGATTTCTAGTGCTCTGACTTGGCTGGTTGTTGCACCAGTGGTGTTCAGTGAATAGAGGAGCATAGCTAAGGAGGAAGGAGAGGAGAAAAGGGATGTGGTTGTTAGTATTTGATGACTAGCACCATGCTGTTGGACAGGGGTCTCTGATCCCAATAATCTAGTGCCTGCTATGCATTTAGAATGTTGGGTTAGAAGCTTTTAAGGTTTTACTGCATACCTTATGCCTATCTAGACTTATAATTAATTTCGCTTTCACTTGTTGATGCTGACTTGGATTAAATACCGAGGTGATTGTTTGACCGGTGAGATGCTTTATTGAGCATATTAAAAAGAATCTGTATTACGGTAATCTCTGACGACTCCACCCAACCGCACAGCACCCACTTGAGTCTTGAAAACCTCATGGAAGATGGACGGGTGCGATTCACCCTCAAGCTGATTCTGAAGCTAGGTTGTAACCGGCTCTTTACGCAGATTTTGTGGTAAGGTACGATTGGGTACGGTGGACGGTTCAACCATACGCAAAACCCGACACGGATTCCTGCTGCTTGCTTGCTTGGCCTTCCTTGGCAGTCAATAGACATGGTAGGAACCGATCCGTTTGTCCCTGAAGTCTGGCGTCGTGTTCCCCCGTCGCTTAGCGTATCGCGTAACCGATTAGCTTGTAGCCTGTCCGTTTCCTTCTTTTTCGCCTCTTCCGCCGCTTCCGCCCCTTCCGCCACTTTCGCCCCTTCCGACTCTTCTGCTTTCCTCAACCTCACAAGCATGAGTTTTCGCGGAGGCGGTACGGCGGGGGGAAGCGCGCGCAAGGGCCCGCAATACGTGCGACACATTCCCAAGTTCCTGCAGGTGCTGCTTCCGCCCTTGGACAAACCCCGCCTGCTGCGCTTCCGCCTGTGCGCAAACCCCGCCTGCTGCGCTTCCGCCTGTGCGCAAATCCCGCCTGCTGCGCTTCCGCCTGTGCGCAAATTCCGCCTGCTGCGCTTCCGCCTGTGCGCAAACCCCGTCTGCTGCTCTGTCCCGCGTCTCCCGCAATACGTGCGATACATCCCCGATTTCCTGCAGATTCCGCTCTTGCGCACCCAAGCTTGCTGCCCTTCCGCCCGAGCGTATCCCCGCCTAATGCGCTTCGATAGAGAGGCGTGAGGTGCAGGCATAAGGTGTTTCAGTCGGTGCTATTTGCATTAGCTACCCCTTCATTACCCCGCTCCCCCAGTACGAGAATTTGACAGAGTGGCGCGAGGGGCAGAAGGTTGTGCTCGGTTCAGTACGGTACTATAGTGTGATCAAACCAGGCTGACCGTTCCCCCGTCCTCCTTCCCCCCTCTTCAGAAGTATGAGCATTTGATAGAGAAGCGTGCGGGGCAGAAGGTGGTGCGGGATGCAGTACGGTACAATGTGCGTAACCATCCCCTCCATTTCCCCCCTTCCTTCCCCCCTCTTCAGAAGTATGAGCATTTGATAGAGAAGCGTGCGGGGCAGAAGGTGGTGCGGGATGCAGTACGGTACAATGTGCGTAACCATCCCCTCCATTTCCCCCCTTCCTTCCCCCCTCTTCAGAAGTATGAGCATTTGATAGAGAAGCGTGCGGGGCAGAAGGTGGTGCGGGATGCAGTACGGTACAATGTGCGTTATTCCAGGCTAACCATCCCCTCCATTTCCCCCCTTCCTTCCCCCCTCTTCAGAAGTATGAGCATTTGATAGAGAAGCGTGCGGGGCAGAAGGTGGTGCGGGATGCAGTACGGTACAATGTGCGTTATTCCAGGCTAACCATCCCCTCCATTTCCCCCCTTCCTTCCCCCCTCTTCAGAAGTATGAGCATTTGATAGAGAAGCGTGCGGGGCAGAAGGTGGTGCGGGATGCAGTACGGTACAATGTGCGTTATTCCAGGCTAACCATCCCCTCCATTTCCCCCCTTCCTTCCCCCCTCTTCAGAAGTATGAGCATTTGATAGAGAAGCGTGCGGGGCAGAAGGTGGTGCGGGATGCAGTACGGTACAATGTGCGTTATTCCAGGCTAACCATCCCCTCCATTTCCCCCCTTCCTTCCCCCCTCTTCAGAAGTATGAGCATTTGATAGAGAAGCATGCGGGGCAGAAGGTGGTGCGGGATATGGGGGGCAGAGAGGGGGAAGGGGAGGGGGAAGGGGAAGGTGAAGGGGGAGAGGGAAGGGGAGGAGGGGGAGGAATGGGGGGAGTGGTAGCAGGAGGGCGGAATGCACATAATGACGATGGTGAGAGGGGTTCGCGGATGGGGATGGGGATGGGGATGGGGATGGGGATGGGGATGGGGATGGGGATGGGGATGGGGATGGGGATGGGGATGGGGATGGGGATGGGGATGGGGATGGGGATGGGGATGGGGATGGGGATGGGGATGGGGATGGGGATGGGGATGGGGATGGGGATGGGGATGGGGATGGGTTGGTTCAGGGGATTAAGGTGTTTGGGGATTGGGTTGCAGGAGTAATGAGGGTTGGTACTGGGGTTGTGGCTGGGAGTTACAGACATCCTTTTCCAGTTTCATTGCTTTGGAACTCCCCCCCACCACCCTCCCCTCCCCCACCACCCTCCCCTCCCCCACCACCCCCTCCCCCACCACCCTCCCCTCCCCCACCACCCTCCCCTTCCCCACCACCCCCCCTCCCCCTCCCCTCCTCTCCCCTCCCCCTCCCTTCCCCTCCCCTCCCCTTCCCCTCCCCTCCTCTCCTCCCCCTTGCATCCCTTTAAACGCCCCCAAACGCCTCCGAATACACGTGTGCCACTCTTTCTGCCTCGTATTCTTTTCCAGTTTGATTGCTTTGGAGCCTTCCCGACATCCCTTTTAACACCTTTAAACGCCTCCAAATACACGTGCTACTCTGTGTGCTGCCTCCTATGCGCGTGCATGTATGATGCTGTGTTTGTGTGTGGTTGGTTTAATGTGTGTGCGCTCGCGCTCGCACGCGCGCGCGCGCGTGTGTGTGTGCGTGCGTGCGTGCGTGCGTGCATGCGTGTGTGTGCGTGCGTGCGTGGGTGTGCGTGCGTGCGTGCGTGCGTGCGTGCGTGCATGTGTGTGTGTGTGTGTGTGTGTGTGTGTGTGTGTGTGTGTGTGTGGTGCACGCATGCATGCATCCACACTCCATCAACAATCCCTTCACACGCCGCCCAAAAGAGGACTTTGAGGATGTGAGTTTCATGTTCTTCCTGCCAGTAGCTCCCCTTCCTGCTATTGCATTTTCATCACATAAAAAATCTCTCGATTTCATGTGATGATTGGATCATTTTTCACTTGATAAGCCATGGCGATTTATGCGTCATATTGCTTTCCGTGAGTTGCTGTCATAGAAGCAGACCTTTAGTGCCTTTTTCGTTTTCAATCACATTAGGTGTACGTCTTTGGTCTTGCTGTTTGTGTTCCTCATCGTTTTGATGATTATTAGGAGCTTCAAGGTGCAACCATTGTGTATGATGAGCGCGAGGGGGCAGCAGGGTTAGCAGGGGGAGAAGGGGAGGATGGGGAAGCAACACTGACAGCGACAGAGGTACGAAGGTGGGTGCTCTTTAAATGGGTTGAAGGAGGAAATGGGAGAGGGTAGGGGGGAAGGAGAGGAGGGGAGAAGAAAGGGGGAATGAAGTATTAAAGATGATAAAGGGGGGACTCAGGAGAGGGGAGGAGAGCAGCACAGGCAGACAGTGCCCGCGGTAGGTAGGAGAGAATTATGTAAATTTTACTTTTGAGAATTCTCATAGCAGACAGTGCCTGAGGTAGGTAGGAGATAGAGGGGTGGAAGTGAAAAGGATGATTTCGTACTCTTTTGGTAATGCTTTCTGTTTGCCTCTGATGACGTGGCTGGTCGTTCTCATAGCAGACAGTGGCCGAGGTGGCTGTCTGCTATGGCTGTCTGATGACGTGGCTGGTCGTTCTCTTAGTTGCACCACACCATGATGCATCCTTCTTTGCGCGCGCGCGCGCGCGCGTGTGTGTGTGTGTGTGTGTGTGTGTGCATGTGTGTGTGTGTATGCGCGTGTGTGTGTGTGTGTGTGTGTGTGTGTATGTGTGTGTGTATGTGTGTGTGTGTGTGTATGTGTGTGTGTATGTGTGTGTTTCACTGCGTGCGTGCGTGTGTGTGCGTGCGTGTGTGTGCGTGCGTGTGTGCTCCTTTCTTTGCTTCATGTTGTATGAAACATGATGACACGATGATGTGATGACACATGGGGCACGATGGGGCATGATGGCATGATGGGGCATGATGGGTCATGATGGGTCATGATGGGTCATGATGGCATGATGGGGCATGATGGCATGATGGGTCATGATGGGGCATGATGGCATGATGGGGCATGATGGCATGATGGGGCATGATGGCACAATGCACCATGGCATGGCATGATCAGCTGAAGGAGCAGGGCAATGCGGCATTCTCCCGAGGCGAGTACGAGCAGGCAGTGGGGCTCTTCACTCGAGCCATTCAGGCCGACCCCAGGTGGGTGAGTGGACTCAAAAATAGCCCATCCCTGAGTTACCGAGTATGCATGGGGTAGTTGTCCCGTATGGGGGTATGCATGGGGTGGTTGTCCCGTATGGGGGTATGCATGGGGTGGTTGTCCCGTATGGGGGTGGGCATGGAGGTGTGTGCGAGAGGCGAGTACGAGCAGGCAGTGGGGCTCTTCATGCGAGCCATTAAGGCTGACCCCAGGTGTGCTTTCTCCCATGGGTGGGCATGGGAGGGTGGGCGTGGGAGGGCATGGGTGGGCATGGGAGGGTGGGCGTGGGAGGGCATGGGTGGGCATGGGAGGGTGGGTATGGGTGGGCATGGGTGGGCATGGGTGGCAGATGCAGGGTGCAGCTATGCCTGTGCTACTACCAGTCATCCGCATGCAGTCATGCAGAGCACAAAGCCCACCCGCCTGTCCTTCCGCTTCCTGTCTCTCGCGTGTGTGTCCCTCCTGTGTCCCTCCCCCGTCCCCCCTCCCCTCCCCTCCCCTTGTCAGCTCCAGTGTTCTCTGCAGCAACCGGTCAGCCGCCCATGCAGCCAAGCAAAGGACCAACATCCACCTCTTTCTGTGTCCCGCTCCCCCGCTCCTCTTCTCTTCCCCCACCCCCTTCCCCTCAACACCCCTCCCCTCCCCTTGTCAGCTCGAGTGTTCTCTACAGCAACCCATCAGCCGCCCATGCAGCCGTGCACAGCACCACGGCTACCCACCCACCTGTCCGTCTGCTCCTCCTACTTACCCGTTGTGGCCCCCTCTACCCCTCCTCCCCTCCCCTTGTCAGCTCGAGTGTTCTCTGCAGCAACCGGTCAGCCGCCCATGCTGCCGTGCGCAGCAGCATGACTACCCACCTGTTCTTCTGCTCCTAGATCGTTGTGCTCTTAGAAGGCTTGCTGCGTTTCAAACCCTACGAAATTTCAACCTGTTCTTCTGCTCCTCCTGCTTCCCCTGTGTGGCCGGGGCCCCTGCGTCCCTCTCTTCCCCCTCTCCTCCTGACAGCTCGAGTGTTCTCTTTAGCAACCGGTCAGCTGCCCATGCAGCCATGAAGAATTTCCAGCAAGCGTTGCACGATGGCAGGAAGGTAAGAGTATATGCGTTATAGGCCTTCTCTTTTTAGTTTATAAGCGTGTGTAATAGTGTCTCACACATGCAGCCATGAACAGTTTTCAGAACGCATTGCACGATGGCAGGATGGTAAGAGAATATGTTTATACTCGTTATAATCATGTACGTTACGAACACACATGTTAACCCTGCAGATTAAGATGTATCCATACTCATTATAGGGTTTTACTACATGGTGCTATAAGCATCTGCGACAGTGTGTGGTGTCGGCATTGGTGTAGCACGCATATATGCAACCATGAGGTGACATTTGAGTCGATTCAAAAGCAGGCATGAGAGTTATTCCATGCTTAACCCTATCCCCTCCCTCCCTTTCTCGGTTCTCTCCCCTTTTTGCCTCCCACCTGCGCCGCTTCTCCACCGCTTTCCACCGCTTTCCTAGGCGCTGCAGTTGCAACCCAGGTGGTCAAAGGCGTACTCTCGCATTGCAGTGGCGCATTATGGGATGAAACAGTATGTGGAGGTAAGCTGAAACAGTACGTAGGTGAGATGAAACTGTTCCGAGGTGAGATGAAACTGTACCTGGAGAGGAGTGACAATGTACCTTTGCATTGCAGTGGCACATTCTGGGATAATTGAAACAGTATGTAGAAGTGAGACGAAAGTGTTTTGAGGTGAGATGAAACTGGACCTGTGGTGTCATGGAATTGTACATAAAGGCTAGTTGAAACTGTACCAAGAGAGGTGAGTCAACTCTTCTGTGAAAGGTGAGTCGAAACTGTACCGAGAGAGGTGAGTTGAATTGAAACTGTACGAGTAAGTTACAATGGTATGGAGATGAGTGAATGAAACTGCACAAATGAGTTTGATTAAATTGCAGGCGCCCACTCCCTTCCCTATTCCTGGGTGAATTCATTGCAGGCAGCGGCAGCGTATGAGAAGGGGCTGTAGTGCAATCCTCACAGCACTGTGTCCAGGCAGGCACGGGGGGGTTCAGCTTGTATGCTTTCCCTCCCCACTTCCCCTCCCATCCCACCCTCCTGCAGGCAGCAGCAGCATACGAGAAGGGGCTCAAGTGCAATCCTCACAGCACTTTGTGCACGCAGGCAAGGGGGTGGAGGGTCAGATCAGAGTTCTTCCCCTCTCATCCCCTTCCCCCGTTCTCCTCCTTGCAGGCAGCAGCAGCATACGAGAAGGGGCTCAAGTGCGATCCCCACAGCACTGTGTGCAAGCAAGGCTATCCGGGGTCAATTTGCTTATCCACCCCCGACAACCTTCCTCTTTCTTCCATCCCCTTACCGTGCTGCTCCCTGCAGGCAGCAGCAGCATACGAGAAGGGGCTCAGGTGTGACCCTCACAGCACCGTGTGCAAGCAGGGATTGCAACAGGTGATGCATGGAGGCATGGGGGGGGGTGGGCGGGTGTGGCAATGGGAGGTAGCAAGCATACGAGAAGGGGATTAAAACCACTTGTTCCAGATTCTTTTTAAAACCACCACACCTTGTAGCATTCCCCACTTGCGGGCATGGAGAGGCAGTAGCAGCAGGGGCACGGAAGAGGCAGTAGCAGCAGGGGGGGGAGAAACTGGCCAAGACTAGGAATCTCGCGTTTGAGTGCTGAAGGCTGTTACACATGATACTCTAAGTAGTTTATTTGTGTGACTGTCGCGCACGTGTGTTACCACGCCAGGCAAGGGAGAGGTTGCAGCAGGAGGAGGAGAAGGAGGCGAAGAATGGGAAGCACACATTCTGAGTATTGGAAAGCTGGCTGGACCAACAAATGTGTGGCAGCGATAACTTAAGTGTCATGTTCGTGTAATTGCTATGTGTGTTGTGTGTTACCATGCCAGGCGCGGGAGAGGTTGCAGCAGGAGGATGAGAAGGAGGCCAAGAGTGGGAAGCACACGTTTCGCAAGCGGAAAGCAGCAGAGGGAGGCGGGAAAAGGGAGGGGAAAGGGGGCGATGCAGCGGTAAGGAAGAATGGGAGAAGGGGGGATGCTCTGGTAAAGAGGGTGAAGGAGGGGGGATATGCGCCGGTGAGAGGGATGGGAGGGGGGATATGCGTTGGTGAGAGGGATGGGAGGGGGGATATGTGTTGGTGAGAGGGATGGGAGGGGGGAGAAGTGCTGGTGAGGAGGGGAGAGGAGAGGGGAGATGATTTGGCGAGAGGGGAGGGGAGAGGGGAGATGTGCCAGTGAGGGGAAAAGAGGAGAGGGGGAGAGGGGAGATGTGCTGGTGAGAGGTTAGAGGTGGTGAAGAGATGAGTTGGGATGGGGTTCAGGACAGGCAGGCTCAGTGGCCATTGATGCATGAGGATGGGGGGTGTGTGGGCATGTGAGTGGGGTGTGTGGGCATGTGAGTGGGGTGTGTGGGCATGTGAGTGGTGTGTGTGGGCATGTGAGTGGGGTGTGTGGGCATGTGAGTGGGGTGTGTGGGCATGTGAGTGGGGTGTGTGGGCATGTGAGTGGGGTGTGTGGGCATGTGAGTGGGGTGTGTGGGCATGTGAGTGGGGTGTGTGGGCATGTGAGTGGGGTGTGTGGGCATGTGAGTGGGGTTTGTGGGCATGTGAGTGGGGTTTGTGGGCATGTGAGTGGGGTTTGTGGGCATGTGAGTGGGGTGTGTAACTTGGGGGAGGGGGGAAAAGGAAGGCGGGACAAAGAAGCAACACACTTCCGGACACAGTATTTTCATTCCTCCTCACCTACCGCCCCTCCCCCCTCCCTTTCTCCTCCCACCACTTCGTCTTCTCTTCCCTTCCTCCCCGCCTCCTCCTCCCCTCCCTCCACATAAGCACGGAACCCCAGCACACGCGCAGCTCTATCTGTTCATTCTTCTTCTTCTGCATGACTGCTCACGTGGTGCTCACAACGCTTGCTAACACATGTGCCAGTGCAATTGCATTTGCTCATGTACTTGCTTGTTTGCTTCACACCACCAGTTCACCACCGCCGCTCTCCTCGTGCCCACCACATGTGCCAGTGCAATTTCTCACACATTGCCAACACGTTTGGCAACGCACTATTTTATACTGCCACTGTTCACTGCTTCTCACGTTGCCCTGCAGGGTGGAACGAACCAAAAGAAGGCAAGTGGAGGGCAGGGGACAATACAGCAAGGGGTTCGCTCACTGCTTTCGTTTGACGATGAGGCCGAGATTGAATAGATATTGAGGTAAATTCATTTGTGTCTGTTTCTTGCATAGTAGTACAATGAGATTTGCACGTCGTGCCGCATCTACTACCTGGTCAATATTCGCCAATTTTCCCAAACAAAGCCCTGGTGTTGTTGCAAAAATACTGCTTTGAGTTTGTAACATCGGAATACACTTTGTAAAAATCGGGCTGCGCCAATAGGCTCTTCGCTATAATTTGAGTTTCAGCACCAAACCGAATCCGCCGCCACCATCATCTTTTGATGCTCATCCGATCCGATGAACACGGGAAGATTACGATCGGGGAAAGTACATCGCAGCTCCACAGTTTCAAAAATATCTCAATTTTGATCCCGAGTTTACCCAAAAAGTCCAGCTTTGCGGAATTCTGCTCACGCGAGGCCCAAAGTATGTTCAAAACTGGTCCTGCGGGGCAGAAATTACGACACGTGTCGATTTCGTGCAAGGTTTTTTATACAGGGCAAACCAAACATAATACCCCTGGGGAAACGGGACACAATTTGGGTAATATATTGCACTGCCTGCGTAAGCAGGCAGTGCAATCGAGTCAGCAAGCTGACCGCGGGCAAGAAAAAAAACTAAAACCCTCTCGGATGGGATGCCATCCGAGGGAGCCTCAACCCTAAAATTTTAGGGTTGATGCTCCCGAATGGCATGCCGTAAGCCAAGGGGTTTAATTTTTGCCCGCGGGATACATTTAGGGAGGGATCAACCCAAAACACCGGGCGGGTTCCCGTGTTTAGGGTTGATCCCTCCCGAACAAGTGTCCTGGTTTCCCCAGGGGTATTATTGTTTTTGTGCCCCGTCAAAAATTGTTGGTGTGAAATAGACACGTGTCAATATTTGAGCCCTACAGGACCAGTTTTGAACATAATTTGGGCCTCGCGTGAGCCAAATCCCAGAAAGTGGGACCTTTCGAGTAAACCTGGGGGTAAATATGAGAGAAATCTGAAAGTAAGGATCTAGGATATAGTTTCCCTTACGATCGTCACGTTTTGAAGGCTACGGCGGAAACAACGAACATTCGTTGTATCTGGTCAGGTCCGTTGACGACATCCGACGGTCCCCGTTTGCGAAGCCACCGAGCCGTGACGACCGTCAACTTTGTTGTAACATAAATAATGCACGTTTTCGCGAATTTGTTGTAACACTGTGGATCTCGGCATTCCTCCTGATCTGGTCCACGTGAGAGAATTGCCCGAGATTTCCTCCATTCGCCTTCTTCGCCCTCCACTTTCAAGCGGGGGTTGAATCTCGGGATTTCCTAACTTGAGAATATTTCTTGACGAATTGGTGTTATGGTTTGCTCGTGTGTGACTTGAGAGACCTCCAGCGCGATGTCGTTTACGCTCGAAAATGGCGGTGCGGAAGAAACTTGTGAGGGAGGAACCATTCCGTTAGACCACGAGGAGGAAACCTGATGCGTAGATAGCGATCGTTCGGTGAATTTTTGTCGCCTGCCCTGCCAGAGCACGTGTAGGGAAGCACCCTTGACGTCACTTACTTCCACGTGTTTACCATTGCTTCATTACACCCCTTGTTCTCACTCATCTCACCGACAAAATGCTCTAAAGCGTTGGCTCTCCTCCTCCTCATCGCACACAGATATTCTCATTTTAGTGGACACACGCCTCTCCAAAAACCTACCTAAACTGTCACTCCAACTCCGGCCACACTCTTCGGTACACGCACCCACCCTCTACGCACTGAATTCAAACGGTCATCCATGTCCGCAACCCGGCGGCATCTCCATCTTATCTTTCAACAGAGCAATATCTCTCACCTCCCCGTCCCCCTCCGCCGATGGCCGCCTCCTATCCGTACATATCAACTTCCTGCGGGAGCAACTTCGCATCCTCGCTATCTATGCGCCGAGACCTGCCACTGACCGCTGGATCTGGTGGAGATCCATCCTAACTCCCGCACTGGAGCAACCCACCGCAGCTGCTGCCACAATCCTCGTCGGTGACTTCAACTCGGTAACCTCCCCCTTAGACCGTAACCGTCCGCTACTTGGTCACGAAGCCACCACGATGTCTAATCTCCTGCTATCGCACGCACTGTCCGACGTGTACCGCTCACTCCACCCTACCGCCCCCGTTTTTTCCTACTTTGGCCGCCGGGCCAGTGCTAGCACTGCTCTCCCGCCGGCCTCCAGACTGGACCGAATCTACCTCTCCAGTTCATTCATCCCTCGGGTCTCTGAAACCTCCTACTTCTGGACCCCAACTGACGTGTCTGACCACTCCTTTGCACCCCTCTGCACCCTCACATTCGATAACCCAACCATGGCACCGCGACCTTGGCGTTTCAGCTCCTCTCTTCTCCACCGGCCCCAAGTCGCTACCATAATCGAATCTCACCTCCCCTCCCTGCCATCACGCCCTTCCTCCGATGCATGGGACGCCTGGAAACTGGCCCTCACGCTTAGCCTCAAAAGTTTCTCGAACGAAGAGCGCAAAAGGGTTACAAGCACTACAAACCACCTAGTACAACTCATCAGCCACCTTCAGCTCCAATCTGCCCTCTCCCCTCTTGACCATGATGCGACCACACAGCTTCTCAAAGCCCGCACTCAACTAACAAAATACGAGGCATCCAAAACCGCCGAGCTCGCTCTAAAAGCAAAGCTCAAAGTCGAAGGCCATAGGGAGATGGGAACCTCCTCCCTGCTGGTAGTGTTAGAATCTAGAGACAAGGATGATGCATTGATCAAGAGTTGGGTACATAAGCTAACCCTAACATTGGGTTGTACCCCATATGGGCTACCCCACTAGCAGCCTACACAAACACAATATGCATAGTTTGACACACCCCCATAGGCAAAGTGGGGGAGAACAAGGGGTCACAAGACTAGTCAAGAGAAACAAAACAAGCTCAGGGTGGATCACAACGTCACCACACACACTGAGCACAAGCAAAGGGCCACAAGGCCTGTCCACATGCAGAGGTATATATGCAACAAACAAAGTACAGTGATCACTACCTAGCAAGAGCAAGCATGCAGGTATATATATATATAAAGATCACAGTACAGGCAGAGTCTACAGCAAGTGTGGAAACGTAGGCACAAGGCCCAACAAGGTACAAAAGCGCTGATGATCACCAGACGGAAGTGCCTTGGTGAATATATCAGCAGTGTTGGCCCGAGTGGCCACGTGTGCAAGACGAAGCTGACCACGCTGCTGCAACTCTCGAGCCAAGAAGTAACGCAGAGCGATGTGCTTCGTTCTGTGCTCCAGTCTGTGCTCCTCACACAAGGCAATGGCTGCCTTGTTGTCAACGTACAGAACTGGAGGAGAACGAGGCCGCTCTCCCAGGTCGGTCAGCAGGTACGTGAGCCAGCGCAGCTCCTGAGCAGCCATGGCGGTGGCGTAGATCTCAGCCTCACAACTGGAGCTGAGAACAGAAGACGAGCGAGTAGAACGCCACGAAACAGAGCCAGAGCCGAGGCTGAAAGTGTAACCCTGTGACGACCGCTGTGTAGCCTGGTCGTCAACCCAAGACGCGTCTGAGTGCCCAGTGAGGACCACCTCTCGCCGTCCTCCAAGCACGAGCCCCATGCCCGATGTACTGCACAAGTAGCGCAGTACCCTCTTCGCAGCATCCCAGTGCACCTTTCGGTGCCGACCAGGAGCCACGTAGCGGGCCAAAAGGCCAAGAGGGTACGCAAGGTCAGGACGAGTGCAAGTCATCAGGTACATGAGGCAGCCGACTAGCTCTGGGTAAGGACCACTCGGCTCTACGGACTCGTCCGAAGGTGGAGCTGAGAGCGAGTGACCTGTAGCTAGAGGAGTGGACTGTGCCGAGGACCAGGTGAAGCCGAAGCGCTGAAGGACCTGCTGCACCATGTGTGACTGAGTCAGAGTGATGGTGCGACGTGCTCTGTCCCGGGTGATCTGCAAGCCAAGGTAGCTGCGCAGCTCACCC